CAAGTATTTAAAATTTTTTTCTTACATTTCAATGAACCCAGTGTCTTTCAATTCAACATTTGAGGAGCTGTTATCTTTGGAGGAGATATGCTGTCTTGTTTTTCATGTTCTTGCTTTTCTGTATCACAACTGACACATTTGTTGGGATGGCTTCTCCTTCAGTTTTGTTTGGGATTTGGGGGCCTTCTTAGTGAGTAGTCTCCGGCAGGAGGGACTCAATCCTCAGGACTCCTCAGACAAAAGAAAACAAATAATTGTAACAGCAACAATGTATTGTTAGTTACTTGTCACATTGTTATGATAAATACCATGACAAAGACAACTTAAGAGAGAAAGGTTTTTTGTTTTCTTACAGCTGAGGTGGGGGTGCACAGTCCATCATGGCATGGACAATATGGCAGCAGGAGACTAAGTGGCTGGTCCAATGACATTCACAGTCAGGTTGTTGAGAGTGATAAATGCTAGTGCTCAACTTAATTTTTTCCTTTTATTTTGACTGGACTCAACGGTGTGATGCTACCCACATTCAGTATAGATCTTCCTGCCTCAATTAGTCTAATTTAGATAATTCTTCAAAGAAGTGCCCAGAGGCTAAGCTTTTCTCTCTCTCCCTCCCCCCCACATCATATACATCTATATGTATATGTATATATGTATACAAGCATATATAATATATATTTCCTCACAGACATGCCCACCCTTGACTCTTAGGTAATGCTGGATGCTGTCAAATTGAGAATCAATATTAACCGTCATGTATACCAAACCAAAATGATACAGAAATGCACTTTAGGTCAACTGTAATACTACTAATGACTATAAACAGAAAACAACAGAACTATAGAATAAGTTATTAAGTTAATAATTTTTGGGCTATGGTAAAATGCTAAATGAATAGCTTAAAAGAAGAAGAGCAAAGAGAAATGGAAAAATGAACAAAAGCAAGCTTAACTGAAAGACAAAGAAGGAAGGAATATAAAGAAAGAAAACAATAGATAAAAGAATAGAAAAATAAGATAGTTTTTGAAAAAATGAATTAAATTCTATATGAAATTAGTAGAGTAGCAAAATATAGTCAAAGATAAAACAGGCAAGACACAGAAACCATCAAAAAAGAGCAGAGAAACAAAAAATGACAAAGCCTGAGTCAGTTTGTATCTGGGTTCTCTAGAATTGTAGTGCAGCAGGGAAAAGCTTTCATCAGTCAATGTTAGAGTCTCTTGTTTTTCTACCATTAGTGCTAGTGCTGAGCCCAGGCTGGTCAAGGGCTGTTTGCTCTTCAAGGATGCGTTGACTTTAGAGACTTTCTTTGTACATCAAGGTCGTCTAATGGCCTTCCTAAATTTTACCTTCTATGGTCAAAGAAAGTTCTCATTTACTTCACCTACTCCCCAATATCTACAACATGAGTAATTAATGTCCAAATAACAGGGCCTCTCCCAAGTATGTTGGAGACTGTAGGGAGGAAACAGAACCCAGAACTCTACACTGAGGGATCAGTCTTGGTGCTTTCTATCTTGCTCAGTACTGTATACCCTATAGGAGGAAAGAATCTACATAATTTGATTGATTTGTTGGTCATTTAACTGTCAATATTAATCAAACTAGGATCAACTGGCAAGTGAGACTCAAGGAGAAATTAAGTACATCAGGTTGTTTGTGGACACATTGGTTGGGTATTATCTAGACTCAGCCTATTGTGGATGGCACTATCTTTAAGCAGGGAATCACAACAGTTTAAGAGAGGAGAAGGTTAGCCGAGAACAATGAAGCAAGCCACCTTCCTCTAGATTATGAATGTATTGTGACTCACTGTTTGAAGTTCCTCCTTAAAGTTCTGCAAAATGATGGACTGTAACTTTGAAGCCAAATAAACTCTTAAGTATGCTCTTGTTTGTTTGTTTTTGTTTGTTTGTTTGTTTGTTTGTTTTTTCCTAGAATATTTTATCATTGCAATAGAAACCAAACTAGAAATAGTGCTCTTCTAGACTGGAATTTCACATCTTTCCATCTCAGAGGTAGAAAAATCACATGAAAAGGACACATTTAGAGACAAACTACCTGATGGCCAGTGGACTAGGCTGTTAGTTCTTTATCAGTTCCCAGTTCCCTTGAGGTGTTGGAATTTGTCATCCCCACAAGCAGTGGGTGACCAACTGTGATGCTCTTCATAGCCAAAGCCTTGAGCTTCTCATATGTCTGCTTTTGTCTATCTGCCTCTCCACAACTGCCTCTGGAGGCCATCTCTCAGCCACTGGGACAGAGTATCCTCAAGCTTTCTCTTGCAAGTGTTCCTTATATATG